AAAAAATTAGCCACAAGATGAAGAAGAAGAAAATATGATCACAAATATTTCTTTTTAGTTAATGCATCAGTTTGTTAACAGTTATCAAAATGGAATTGCCATTTTTCCATTTTTTAAAATTAGAAGCTTGCAAAAATAAATTTCTAGCTCTAGCAAATGTTCTTTTAATTTCTTTTTTCCCCTCAATTTCCCACGAGTAGATGAGTACTCTGTTCTTCTCTTTCTTATTTTTGTTATCTTTTTTCTTTATTGATATTCTAATAGCTATTGCTGAACCAATGTCTTATGTTTTGGTAAAACTAAAACGTTCTACATATTTTAAGGGAAATAATTTTTTTTGATAATATGGATATGTGTAGATCATTGGTCCGACTACCCATTAAGGTATCCGGCTTGTTTTTGTTGATTTTTTTTTTTAATAATCAGAATATAGTAATAATAGAAATATCCGAAACCTGTATTTCTAATCAAGTTTATGTTTGAATCAAAATAATTTTTGGTAATACTTTTTTTTTTAATAAATTTGCAAGAGTCGAATTTCACTTAAAAAAAAAAGAATACACGTAACGTGTGGTTTGACATCATTGGGCTTAAGGGCCAAGTGCAATTTTTGGTAATATCTTAATAATGTAATCATGTGACATTTTAATCTTTTCGACCCCAAATAGGCTTAACCTTGACAGGCGAGTTTGGAACGATATATCCCTTGAACTAATAGTGGAAGGGTAAAGTCAAAATTATTTATGCCTAAAGAAACCAACAAAATGACCTAAAGCTGTAGCATAATTGATTAAAATAGATGTTTCTCATTGCAAGGAAATGGATTAGAATTTTCCTTCCGGAATCATACACCTAAAATATTCTCTTTTTCACATTTCTTTCTCCATCAATCACATGACTAGTTTGACTAGTTAAAACAAGACAACACGGTTTCAAAAAAGAAAAGAAAAGAAAAGAAAAGAAAAGAAAAGAAAAGAAAAGAAAGAAAAAAAAAAAAAGACAACACGCAAAGCAGGTACGGGGTATTCAAGCACATGCTAGTTAAAACAAGACAACACCGTTTCACAAAAAAACAAGGCAAAACCATAAGTTAAGCCCCTGAACTAACCCCAGAATTAAGCCCCTAAACTTTAATTGATGCATATAAGCCCTTGAACTCTGCGATCAAGGCAATTAA